GCATGTGGGTTTTGTGGGAGGAGGGGGGCGATGTTGTGGAAGGGACAGGGGCGGGGGGGGGGGGAAGGTGTAGGCTTGCTGCATGGGAGTGCACCTAACTCCCTCCCTCGCTCACACACACACACTCCCTCACTCACTCACACACACACACACACACACACACACACACACACTCACTCACTCACTCACTCACTCACTCACTCACTCACTCACTCACTCACTCACACACACACACACATTTACACACACACTCACTCACACACACACACACGCACGCACACTTCACGCACGTGCGCGCAGGCCTTGAGACGGCGCTTACTGGGGACGAGACGGAGGAAGCGATTTCGGAGCGGAAACAGACGCTGCAAATCAAGTGGCGCAAGATGCGACGCACGTGAGCACATTACCCAGTGGTGCTTGGTGGTGGTTGCCTGGTTGATGAGGCAGGGCTTGTGCATGATTTTGTCTCCAGTGTCGACCCACATTCAAGCACATTTGTAATAACCACACCTCTCTCATTCTAGTTGCACACACTCACTCACATTCACTCACTCACTCACTCACTCACTAACTCTCTTTCTCTTTCTCTCTCTCTCTCTCTCTCTCTCTCTCTCTCTCTTTCTCTCTCTCTCTCTCTCTCTCTCTCTCTCTCTCTCTCTCTCTCTCTCTCTCTCTCTCTCTTTCTCTCTTTCTCTCTCTCTCTCTCGCTCTCTCGCTCTCTCACTCACACACACACACACATACACACACACGCCACGCGACGGCAGGACGAACGAGCGCGTTGTTGGCAGTTATGCGCAGCGATACAGGGACAGTCTTCGCGTCATTGCACGGGATATCAAGTCGTCCAACCGATGAAGCATTCCATGCTGTTGATTTGTGAAGATGCCGACCACCGCCAACCAGCACAGCCTGCCCTCGTGCCGCTTTGCACGCTTTTCCTTCACCATCCAGTGGCCTTACTCTTCTTGCCTCATTACGTCCCCTCTTTGCTTCTTTCCTTGTGGTTATCAACAGACACCTGTTCTTCTTCTTTGTTGCGTTTGCCTGCAAGCTTGTTCCTTCCTCCCAACACACACACACACACGTGCAGTCTTGTTGTTTAAAGGCACATCATTTGACTCACGCAAGTGTCATGGCATGTGCGTTTACTCTTGCTGTTCACAACCATGATGCATGCACATGCAAGAGCGAAACACACACACATACACACGAACACACACACACACACACACACAAACCGACTGGTATTCACACACGGTTCATTGCACAGTCTCTCCTGCTACACCCCCATCACTCACACCCTCCCATCCTTGAAGCTTCGAACAACCTGGAGACTGCTTGCGTACACACAAAAGGCCACCAAGCAACGAAGATTCACTTTCCAGTGAGATGGGAAGGGGAGTGCATGGTGTACAAGTCGTTCTACTCTACGCACAGTCCAAGAGTGCACGTAACCGCGAAGCATCACACACGCATACACTCTCATGCACACACACGCACACATACAGACATACACAAGCATTGACACACGCACACACACACACACACCAAGCACACACATTCCGCTCAAACATTCACACGCACATACGCACACACGCGAGAACACGAACGCACCTGCTTGGCTAGTACTGCATGGCTCGCCTGAGCTTCTTGAACATGGTGCCGCTGCGGAGAACCTTTGCCTTACGAAGTTGTCTGTGGGTCTTCTTGGATTTGGCTTGAGAGTTGTGCACACGCCCGCGCCGCCAGTACTTGATGAGCCCGCTCTTGGTCAGCTTGAACCGCGACGCAACCGCCTTCTTTGTCTTCATCTTGTACTTGGTCTTCTGTCTGTAGTGGCGCTTGATTTGCCGCTTCATTGTCTTCACGCCGCGCACCTGCTGCACAAGCGCGGACGGCGACGACACAGCAGGCTGGCGCGCTTGCATGAGCAGCGACATCAGCGGCGCTCGTGCCGCAGCAGTGGTTGTTGCTGATGCTGTTGTGAAGTGCCTGCCGAGGAGGGTGGTCGTGTTGCTGGCAAACTGCCTGGACATGGTGAAGGCGGCCATGTTAGCCATGGCCGGCAACCCAGCAAACCGGCAGCTGCTTGTCCCGCACACCTGACGCACGCTGACCCGTGATGCCACCGACGACGACAACGCCGCAGACGTTGTGTTAACACCACGCATCACGCCAACAGCGGCATTGCGAGACACTGCTCGCAGCAGCAGCAGCGCCCCTGTCGTCCTCGCCAACGCCATCATCATCGTGGTTGTGGAATTTTGGCAAATGATGCCCTCAAATATTCAGCAAGGTCTGTTGTGTGTGTGTGTGTGGTGTATGTATGTATGTGTGTGTGTGTGTGGTGTGTGGTGTGTGTGGTGTATCTGTGGTGTGTGTGTGTGTGTGTGTGTCTGTCTGTGTTGTACTCCCTTGTCTCGCCCCTACATCCCCATGTTCTTTTCAGCACGAGTCTCAGCCTATGCTTTCATTGGAAAGGCAATCACGTCTCTGATGTTGCCTGTGTCTGTGAGCAGCATGATGAGCCTGTCAATGCCCATCCCCCACCCGACAGTTGGTGGCAGCCCATATTCCAGCGCGCGGCAAAAGTCCTCGTCCGGTACCTGCGCTTCATCGTCACCAGCGGCGCGCTCCTGTGATGCACATGTGTGTGAATGTGTGTAGGTGTGAATGTGTGAACGTGTGAGAGAGTAAGTGCACATGTTGTGTTTGAAGTGTGCATGTTGTGTGTGCGAGTGTGCATGATGTGATATGGTGTGTTAGAGAGTGTGCGTATGTTGTGTTTGGAGTGTGCGAACGTGAGAGGGGATAAGGAGGGTGGTGTCGCTTGTCGCGGAGGAAAGGGAATACAAGGGGCAGTGAGAGTGGCTGCAGATTCACACGTGCGCACGACTGACCGCCTCCTGTTCCCTGAAGCGGCTGCGCTGCTCATCTGGGTCATTCAACTCTGGTGTGGCATTGGCAGGTGGGCCGGAGACGCCGGAGACGCCATTTCACATCAGTCAGAAGTGAAGTGATACGAACGGAAGACAATCGACAACAGCAGCAACACGCACGTACACACATACGAACGCACAAACGCACACATACGAGCACATGCACACACATACACACACGAACACGCACATACACACCGTTGTATGCGTTGACAATCTCCTTGCCATCAATGTAGAGCTCAAAGCGATCCGAAATGCCCGCCTGACACCACAATGCAGCACGCACATGTGTGTAATGTTGTGTGAAATAATGTGGACACTCCTGTTGAAAACCCCGCAGGAGCAACCCACGCTTCAGCACCACAACTTCTCCTATTCCACACACACACACACACACACATGCGCACCTGTGTCTGCGACTGCTTCGCGAGCGGAGAGAGGCACGTTGGGTGGCCGTACACAAACGTGGGCTGCACGCAGAGCGGCTCAATAAAGTGTGCAGCCAGCCTGTCTAGCAAGGAGGCGGCTGTCAGCGGTGCATCTGTCGATATGCCGTGCTGTTCACACAGGTCCGCCAGCGCAGGCAGTGGCAGCACGTTGCCCGTGTGCGCATCCACCACGCGCGTGCCGGTTGCCTTCTCAATTGTGTCCACAAAGGCGAGGCGCTGGAAGGGCGCCGAGAGGTCCACAGGGGTTCCATGCACGTTTAGCACGAGAGAGCCGCCCGTGACAGCTTGCACGACATGACGCAAGAGGTGTTCGGTGAGGTCGAAGAGCTCTTCAAACGGCGCATACGCCTGGTACAGCTCGCAGCTCGTGAATTCCGGATTGTGCGTCCGGTCAATGCCTGCGGGCGACGGGGGGGGGTGTATCATGTGTGCGTGCGTGTGTGTGTGTGTGTGTGTGTGTGTGTGTGTGTAGTGTGTGTGTGTGTGTGTGTGCGTGTCACAGAAAGGGGCATAATATTGCTGCGCCTAGACTGCTTACCGGGGTGCTCCGTAAATCCGCAGGTCAGAAACGGTACCGCTTTGTTGGAACCATTTATCATCGGACGCTAGGTCATAGCAGGCGGCCGATTAACGAGAGCCATAGTTGGCTATATCCAAGTTGAAAAGAGACTTGCTCTCGGCGTATACTGAGAAGACCCTCGGAATTGTAACGGAGGCTCTAAAAGACTCCAATCATAGGCTTTCACTCCCACCACTCTTGATGTATGCCAGAACGAGCCTGCATGGTTCGCCCAAGTTTATCCTGTTAAAATGAGAGCTTTAACACTTAGATTCTCAGCATCTCGGCATAATAAACCTACCACACACCGGGCACGGTTGTTGGATGCACCGGGTGTTTCCCTTCACTACGTAACATTCAATGGCCAAATCCAAAGCGCCTTATACATACTAACGCGGGGCTACAATCGCGCAGCATCATGTGTGTGCGTGCGTGCGTGTGTGTGTGTGTGTGCGTGTGTGTGTGTGTGTGTGTGTGTGTGTGTGTATCGTGTGTGTGTGTGTATCGTGTGTGTGTGTGTGTGTGGACGGAGCAAGCAGATAGCAACCCCCATCACCATCAGCCATAACTGCGTCGCGTCACCTTCGTTGCGAAAGACTTTGCCAATCTCAAACACACGGGGCAGCCCGCCGACGACCAGTTTCTGGTAGGTTAGACACAGCACGGGGAGGCGGTGGAGGGTCGCCGATGTGTTAGATGGCGAGACAACTGAACGCACACACACACACACACACACACACACACACACACACACACACACACACACACACACATCATCATCATCGTCATCAACATCAACGACACCTTGAGGTAGAGTTCGGGCGCCACGCGGAGGGCATAGTCGCGATCAAGCGCGTTTGATTTCGTCCAGAATGGGCGGGCACTTGCCCCGCCGGGCTGGGAGCCTAGGATGGGCGTTTCCACTTCCACAAAACCGCGCGAAACGAGAAACGACCGCAGCGCTTGCAGCACCTGCTCACGTGCGCAGTCAACAATGGACAGCACGTATTGATGTGTGTGTGTGTGTGTGTGTGTGTGTGTGTGTGTGTGTGGGTGTGTGTGTGTGTGGGGGGGGTGCGTGTGTGAGTAGCCGTGTGTCAAATGGTTGTGCAAGAGCCATGGTCCAAAGCTCCAACAAACAACGCACACTGACCCACACACCTGCGATCGAACAAGGAGGGTATTCTTGAAGTTCTGGTTGACGAGCATGTGTAGGGGCCGCTCACTCAACTGAAGATTCTGCAAAGCATCACACACACACGTCACGACGTCACACGCACCACGTGTTGTCGATAGTGTACAAGGAAGCAAAAAATGAGCACCTGCAGCACTGATGACGCGCTCAAACACACATGCACACACACATGCACACACATGCACACACACATGCACGCACACATATACATACAGATCGCCGACCCAACACGACAAGGTGGCTGTCTCACCACATCTGTGAGGGAGTCAGGGATGTTGTGCCAGCATGGCGCCAAGAGCTGTGCCTGAATATTTTGGTGAATGGTTTCGTCAACCACCCCATAAGGAGCAAGGGTACGTGTAAGCACACAACACGCACACACAACACGCACGCACTGCTGCAAACACACTCTCCCTCACTTCACACACACGCACTGCTGCACACACTCTCTCCCTCACTTCACACACACACACACACACACACACGAGGCGTACCTCTTGGGCGAACAAGCTCAGCTCTCCGCTCTTGCTTGTGCCCGGGTACCCAGTCACACCTGACAGGTGAGAGAGAAAACACAATGTGCAAGCAGCATGGCGTGGTTGCAATGTTATCCTTTTGTGCGTTGAAATCCACACCGTGAGCCACGCAACGGCTGTTCCCATTCAACCCCAATCTTTGGCTCTCATACGTGCGATATCGCCGCGTCGTATTGCCGCGTGCACCTCCTCATAGTCTTCCCCTCTGTGATCCTTGCCAAATGCCACCACCTGAGAATGTGATTGCACGCAGCAACAACAGCAGCAGAGGATGGCGTGAGGCGCATCTGCGACTGATATATCCTCAGTAAATCAGGTTCCCTTTTATACCATGTTTCGGGCGCTTCCTCACTGGCACCACGTTTTGCATGACCACAGGCATGCACTGCACCTGAATGTTGCTGATGCCGTCCTCAATATCGTAGAAGCAGATCTTCTTGCCGCTCTGCCGCTTGGAGGTGACTCTCCCTGTCATGATCAGAGCAAAACAAACAATAAACCGAACATCAGTCAGTGTCGTGTGTCTGTGAATATGTACGTATCTGTGTGTCTCTGTGTGTGTCTGTGTGTGTGTATGTACGTATCTGTGTGTCTGTGTGTGTGTGTCTGCCTGTGTGTGTGAGTGTGTGTTTCTACTTCCCTTTTTCTCTCATCCCTGTGTTGCTCACAAACACGCACACACGTCTCAATCCCTCCCCCCTGCCTCCTCCTCCCTCCTCCCACCTGCAATGGTGAATTCTTCGTCGCGAAACCTCTGCCCTGGTTCTGTGTTAGCTATGTACTTGTCGCGGATGTGCTGAATAGGCGTCAGCTTCTCTGCCAAGCACGGGTACAAAGGCCGCGTCTGCACAGACGTTGCAGCATGTTGCAGTGCACGTCATGCATGAGTCACGCAGGCAGGCCACATACCAACGACAACCATCTAACAACTATCCCCAAATACACTCCTCTGCCTCACTCACACACACACACACACACACACACACACACATACACACACACGCACATACACATGCGCACTGACCTTGGCGTAAGCATCGATGCCCGGTGTTCGCTGCGTGGTCCTTGCCACCCGCCGCACTGCTCGCCACAACATCTCCCCACAAAAACAACAACACGCTGTATTGGGTTGTCCTGTTTTCTACACTTTGTGGTGTCGGCGTCGAAAAATTGAACAACGGCGGATACGGCTGCTGGCTGTTCGTTCTGTTCGTTACTTCCCGACCACCACACAAGCACCACAAGCACACATACCACAAGCAGCATGAGCGACAATCACCCCGACCACCACCACCACCAGCACAGTGCGCCGTTGCCGCCGGCCCGGTCGGACTCGCTCTCCGTTCACCCACGCCAGAACACGCCGCCGCGCCATGGCCTGGACGCTCTTCGCCAAAAGCACCAGATGCCATCAGCAGCACAAGGTGTGATTGGCTGTGGTTGCCGTTGTGGTTGCCGTTGTGGTTGTGGTTGTGGTTGTGGTTGTGGTTGTGGTTGTGGTTGTGGTTGTGGTTGTGGTTGTGCTTGTGGTTGTGGTTGTGGTTGTGGTTGTGGTTGTGGTTGTGGTTGTGGTTGTGGTTGTGGTTGTGGAGATGTGTCTGTTTGCCTGTGCTTGTGTGTCTGTATTTGTGTGTCTGTGCTTGTGTGTCGGGCGGTTGTAATGTGTGCGTGGTGTTTTTT